TTCCTATCCTAAATGTCATTATGATGTGCATGCATGCTATTTGATTATTCAGTTCTTATGATTACATGATCATTGCTGTTCCGAATCATAATAAAGATCCCTAAGATCGGGTACGGACGAAGACCGCAATTGAAGGGTCTCGCTTGAAGYCGGGCGCACACAACAAAAATATATTTTATTTATTTTATTTATTTAKTTMTTGTAAAATTCAACAAAATCCTGCGTGACAGCTTGTTGGTTTTCTGGTCGCCAGAAGTGGGCCAATTAGAAAAAAGTGCTACAGCGTTCAGCGCCATCTTTTGACTCTGGGCTGATGCTTTATTGTAACTCATACGAGCCACTTGCGCTTGGGGGTTGTGTTACCATCTTCCAGTCTATTCTCCCTCCTTTGTTGTCTAACACCATGTTTCCATGGTCTGTTTGTCGCTATTTGATTGCTTTTCCCTCATCCTGGCCCCATGGAGTGCTGGTGCTAGAGAGCAAAGATGTACTAATCCCAGTCCGGGAGCTCACCTGTGGGAACAATCATTAGAGCTGGTGTTGGGCAACATGGCCAGTCATAGGTTGCCACTCCTTTTCCCCCACCTATGCCAATGGTTAAACCACCCAAAAAAAAAAAGAAAAAAAAAAAAGAAAAGGGGAAACTATGCTAGAGTCACAAAAACGAGTTATAATTGCAGTTGCAGTATGCGGCAAGATACAGTTTGCAATTGCAGTTGGGGCAATGTATACRACCCAGCTTCCTGGCCAGGTAGGGTGCCCRAAGTGCAATTGCAAACTGCATCKTTGCCCATAGTGCAATTATAAAAACAGTACACCTGGGTCTCCCGGCCTGGAGGAGCCTCACTGTGCGCCAACTGGCGCCACCAGCCATAATGGTCCGTTAGCCCAGAGCCATGAAAATGATGGTGGGGATGGTTTTGTATTTACACAGAATACAAGGAATCCATAATTGAAAAAAAAAGAAAATCAAGGTTGACTGGCTGTGCAGTCCAGACAAAGCCGGGACGTAATGTGGGGACCATGGCCTCGAATTTGACAAGGTAATAAAGTTTGAATTTTGAGCAAAAATCCAGACTGAGCACAGAATGATAACAAATATTGAATCAGATGAAAATTTAGCTGGGYTGCAGACTCCCCCGGCTTTCCTTCTCAAATAACACTGAGATTGCTCCCTCCTCAGTGGAGCCAATGTCAGATTTCRCTGATCCRTTGYGCCTTGCAAGGAAAATGTCTAATTGAAGCGGAACTTGCTGCTTGGTTTGAGGAAGATCAAACCACCGGTGCCTCCAAAAGTTGCGTCGGTTAACAAGTAGTGACAATGATCATGGACGAACAGCCCACTACTGGAGTGGCCAGATTCACCCGACTAGAAGTGCCTCTACTCCATTTTTTCCCGCAGCCGGTATATGGGAAAGGTACTGGTGGTCTAGAGGGAAGGTATATATTAGCCCAGCTGAATATGTGCAGCGGCATGGAGGTAGGATAAGGAGATAATACTTTGTTCAGAAAAGGGTAACTTGTTGACTCAGCATTATTGAGGAGGACCTTTAGGGATAAGGAGATCCCATACCTAGCACTTTGGAATTATAGCTACAGGATGGTTAGGCTCCATATTCTGTGCCTTGTACGCCTGGTTTAGCTCCAGACTTTTTCTGCCTATGGCAGGCAGTAAAACCTCTGGTTGGATTAACCAGAGCTATGTCCTGTGTAGGTACTTTCCAGCATGCCAAAAAACAAAAAAAAAGAGAAAAGAAGGAAAAGAGAGCATAGCTGCATTGCCAACCCCCTCTGTACAGTAAGTAATAAGCTTCTAGAGGGGCATTGCGTTAATTAAATAAGCTTTGAATTCTCAGAAAGCTGGCGACAATTATCAGTAAAGTCTGGTGAAGAGTTTTTTCACAGCCGTGCCGTCCCAAAAAAGTTGATAACTATATCCAAAGTGATGTCCCCTGTGGCCTTGTTCTGAACAATATTCTGCAGAAYGATACCGCTCGGGTCTCTAGCACCGGGGAAGGTTGTCGAAGTAGGCCCSGTGTCGCTGACGGTGGTTACAGACTTGGTCCCAGGAAACGGGTCGCTCGCATCACCGGCGTTGTTCATCATGGTCACAGTGAACAGGTCACGCCGCCCGTCGGCCTCAACGAGGGACAGGGCCGGCTCCTCAGGAGCATCCTGCTCCTTGCTGGTGTCCACCTTCCAGACCAGAAGACCCTCCCCAGGGCCTTTTTTACAGTAAATGGTCCCGACAGTCATGCTCCGATTCTCGAGTATAAGTGTTTGAGATCTTGTGTAGGTCGGAGAGATCACTCGTATCACCTGACTAACCTGGGGGGTGCGAGGCTTAATGACMACACCGCGGGTCGTCGTGGTGATCTCCTGAGTGCTCGTCCACTTATGCTGCGCACAGTGGATAGCTGCRGGGAGGGATGGGTAGTTGGCATCTCCGTTGTAGGATCCACTCGCCATGAGATCCCAGTTCCCGCTTCCATCCCAGTACTTGCCATCCGCATCATAGTTGGGATCATAGAAGTCGTCCCACTGGAACAAAAGGTGCCCTAGCTCGTGGGCAAGCACTCCCAAAGTTCCGTCTTCGGGGACCGTCAGGTACGTGGAAATGCGAGTGCCTCTCCCGACGTCGACCGCGGTAGGAATCTCCCACTTGTGGGACCAGATGTTGTTCTGTTGAGCCGCCCCACGCAGAGTTTCCGCGCCGGGTCCAGCATGAACCAGCAACAGCCCATCGACCACACCATCGCCGTTCACATCAAGATCGCTGTTAAAAACCACACCTTGTGCAAGTGCCGCCCTTACAGCATCAAGTGCAAAGCCCTGCCCATTTCTTGGGAAGGTACCCCCTGTAGCACTCTGTCTGTTCGTGTAATACGCCATTGTTCTGGGCATACGGATCCAGCCATGGATGCCAGCGTTTTGAATTGTCACCTTTCCACAACTGGCAACGTCATAGAACTCAAGCARACTCCCACCAGGGAGTTTCCCTTTCGAAAACAAAAAGTCCTCGTAGCGAGAGACTGGTTCACGGGCTGGTCTGTCACTGAAGTCCAGCAGCAGCGTCTTCAAGGGAACCTGCACAAGAAGGRCAGCGGAATGAAGAAACGGGTTAGTTCAAGATAACAACTGCACACACACACACACACACACACACACACACACACACACACACACACACACACACACACACA